GGGCTTTCAGAAGAAGTAACAAAGCATGACCCACAAAAGTCCTGTTCATGGGCATCAAATTAAAATAAAAAGTCTTGTCACATCTTACAGTTTGAAGGTGCCATTTAATCTGTCTTTCTGGAAAATGCAAAGTCAAACCACTGGATTTGTGTTCTGCAGCACTCAGTGGCGGGGGGACATCACATGTTCAGAATCCAAAATCCAGTTCTCAAATAGAGACTTTAACAATGGTTTCATTGAAGTGCCTAACATGACAGTGCTGCACTTTCTATGTGAGAGTGACAGTGAAAGAACACTGTAGTTTATTTATGAGCTTTGATTGAAGTGTACTGTAGTGTCGCGGGTCCTGAAAAACAACTCTTCGGGATTCCTTGAGAGAGTTACTGATCAAAGCTACCTTGAGGTCCTCACCACCTCCTGAGCCTGGCACTCTAGCCTTCTCCCTTGTGACGCCTGCACATGCAGGTATGTTGCTTCTGAGTTTTCAAAGATAGGAATTCAGCCTCTCCGCCAGAGGTTTCCTATAGGAAGGAACTGCAAAGGAAGTGCAGTGGTTTAGCAACCCAGGACAAGCCCCTCTCTGTCCTTTCCCTTGCCTTAGAAAGCAAAAACCCTCATCTATTTATGTTTTCCCATGTCCAGGGACGTTCAACTCTACATACTTTAGAAACTCCAAGATTTGTTTGCTTGGGTTTGAGTTTGTAGGTGCAGAAACCTCCACACCATCTCAAATGAATGGACTCAGAATCTCAGCAGGTAGTTTGCTAGCTTTTCAGCAACCTGTCTGCTTTAATGTACGACAGGAAAAGCACTACCGCTGGCCATTAAGGGAAAGCTAACAAACGAACAAAAAATAATGATGAAAAGGTTTAAGGCAATGACTCTCAATTTTAGCTACACATTAGAAGCACCTAGAGGAACGTTTTTAATAACACTAAAGCCAGTGCCAGGTTCTGCCCTAGCCTCATCCCGGGGCAGAGCAGCACGATTTCCTAGTACAATTCTTTGCAGAAGTGCCTGCGGTTGTGTAACCCTTGGTGATGCTTAGAAATTGTTTAGTGGCTAAAGAAAGATTTTTTAAAAAGAGTGCTAGATGGCTATCTTTCTGTCTGACCGTGACCAGCAACCTCTCAGACAAGGCCGATGAGCCCTTTTTGTCTACTTATCTTATGTTGGATTCTAGCACACTACTTTTTATCGCTAAAAATTATGTCACAATGATGATAGATTTGTCGTCGTAGGGTTTTTTTTTTACTACTTCAAACACTTTTTAGTATAAAATTTTTCCCATTTTTTAGTTTATATGGATATGTAAAACTCAGCAAGCTAAGAAACAAGATTCCTAAGAATGAGTGTAACTAAGGCTGAGGCTTTGTATACAGAAATCTGTCTTTATTTGAATTTTCTTTATATTTTAAGAATTAAAGAGGATTTCATGGTGGCTAATTTTTCCTTTCATAATTACCTGCATCAGAAAGTGAGAGTTTTCCTTCCTTTTCCTTCTATAAATGATATTCCATACATAAGTATTTTTGTTTTTTCTTCATTCTGTAAAATCATTGGGGAAAACAAATCATTCAGTTTCCAAGTGGAAGGCAAGAAAGTAGTCACCTTTTAGAAGAGCTATAGCTGTGTTGCTGATTCTTCTTCTGAACTGAAAGAACTGGAAACAGGGTCTACTTTGAGACATGAAGAGGGCACAAGCTGCATTTGGCCCCAGCCAGCTGACATCCAAAGGGCTTACCCTCCAAATGAGATCTATACCTGTAGTCCATCATTAAAGTACCCACTTAGGCAGATACAGGGACCAGGGCTCAATTTTCAGCTTGCTGTGCTAGTCCCACCCCAGGGCATGTGGAGACAGCAATTGAGACTGGGAATGGTGGTGTGTGTCTGTAATCCCAGTGCTTGGGAAGCTGAAAACAGGAAGATCACTACGAGTCTGATCTGTGTAGTGAGACCCTGTAGACCTTGTACTAAATACACTAAAAAATAAATAAAATAAATCTACTGAGCTGCACGTAGTAGTGCATACCTGCAATCCCAGCATTGAGCTCACAGAGAGGTGCTAACCTCAGCCTCCCATGTGCTGGGATTATAGGCATGCACCACCATGCCAGGCTGACATCAAATTTGGAAACTTCTTTGAGTTCTAAAAGTCTTTGATAAGACATAAAATCTATGAGTTGGGGGAAATATACTGCATATCTGACAGAGGACTCATTTAAAATAAAGGACAATCAAAATTCAAAGTTATAATATATAGATCTTCAATTAGAAAATGAGCAAAAGACATAGAGTGTCTCACCAATGAGGACTTGCAGGTAGCAAAATAATAGGAGGTAAAATAATCACATAGGAGCGTGTTCCACATCATTAGCCATTGAAGAAATGCAAGTCAAAAATATGTATAGCAAAATGATAAATGCTGTCATTCATTAACTGCTACTATAGTACAGCCACTCTGGAAAACACGCAGCCATTACTTATAAAGCTACATGTACACTTACCACATGACCCAGCAATTGCACCAGCTGCCTTTATCTCAGTAAATAAAAACTTATTTTCTTTCTTTCTTTCTTTCTTTCTTTCTTTCTTTCTTTCTTTCTCTTTCTTTCTCTCTCTCTCTCTCTCTCTCTCTCTCTCTCTCTCTCTTTCTTTCTTTCTTTCTTTCTTTCTATCTTATTGAGATAGGGGCTTTCTATGCACCTCAGGCTGGCCTTGAGCTCACTTTGTAGCTCAGGCTGGATTCAAACTGTCAAGGATGCCCCTGCTTCAGCCTCCTGAATATAGGATTACAGGCATGAGTCAGCATGCCCAGCTGAACAGTTCTCTTCATACAAAAATCTACACAGGACTGTTCATATAGTTGTTTGCAGTACTCAAAACTGGAAACTATCGAAATGACCTGTATTACAGAGTTTAAACAGTGCTATGGGTGTACTCATTGGTCCTGGGTTCAATCACCAAACTATGGTATGTATACATATTGTAGAATCCTACTCAGAAATAAAATGAAAACATGAAACACACAACATCCTGGATAAAGGAATGCCAGCTCAAGATGTTTACAGGTGGTTTCATTTATGTAACATGCTCAAAATGAAGCGATGGTAGACAGATGAAGCAGACAGCGAGGAGGCTCGGGAGTCTCCCAGTGACGAAGGATCTGCATCCTGAGCACGGCTGTGGGCCTGAGAATGTGCACAGGAGTGAGTTGCCAAGGAAGTGTGGCTGCCCGTGTCCATGTGTCAGTGTCCTGCCTGGGATACGGTACCACACCTGTGTCCCTGTGGCCACTGGAGGGGAACAGGAAAGGGTGGGCAGAAATGCCTGTACCATTTTTTCAAGTTCCTACTAATCTAAATTACTTTTTTGAAAAACTTTGAGCAGTTTTTGTCGACATAGATGTGTTAGATTCAAGCATTTACAGTGTGGGATGCTTGACATCATATTTGAACATGTCTGTGGTTCAAATACTGGACTACTCAAAGTGGGGCTCAGCCTGCACTGTTCTGACCTCGGGGAGGTGAGGAAGGGGAACCCTGCAGGTGGCTGTGATGGGGGGGCAGTTCCAGAATGTCCCCACATGAACAGCTCCTCACTCTTACAGGATAGCGCCTGTCCTTGGCCTCCAGATCACCCTCCCTAGCTTTGGGTCATAGCCAGGTGGGAGCCCTGCATGCCCAGAGATGCACAAGGAACAGAACGCTGTGCTACGTTCCATTTCAACCCTTCTTTTCTTTTCCTGTTTACCATCTTTCCTATTATTTTTTCTATCTCTTCTTTTTTTTTTTTTTTGGTTTTGTTGTTGTTGTTGTTGTTGTTGTTTGCTTGTTTATTTGTTTGTTTTAATGTATTTAGTACAGGGTCTGTAGGGTCTCACTACACAGATTACAGGCACGTGCCACCAACCCCAGTGTCAGTCGCCATCTAAGAGCGCCCCAGGGACAGGGATGGCACAGCACACAGGGATCGAATCTGCAGCCCCTGGGGTCTGCCTAAGCAGGCGCTTTAGTCCGCTGAGCTATCTGGCTGGCCCTCTATCTCTTCTATCTAGGACTTTTTTTAAAAAACTCTTTGAACAATATACCTTACTGCCTCCCGCAACTTATGATAACACCTAGCTACTGGAAGTGGCAGTGCTGTCTGTCATGGATGTAAGGCAGTCCCTACATGATACTCACTATAAAATGCCTCCTTCACTTGACTTCCCTTGTAGTGCAAAAGCATGCAAACATCCACTTTCGTGAGTTCAATTATGAGGATATCTTCCCAAGAGTCAAATGTAAATTCTTCCAGAGAATTACCAGGATTTTTGTTTTTCACATGTTGTTAATTTCATCATTGCAGTTATGGTAACTTCTTGTGTGATGCCAACTTCTTTGTTCGCTTGGTTTTGTTTTAGGTTTGCAGTTTTGGGGGAGTTTTTGTTGGGGGTGGTTTGGTTTGTTGAAACAGGTTGTACGTAGTCCAGGCTAATTTTTATGTATTCACAATAATCATAGTTATGATTCAAAAAGTTTTCAGAGCAAAATTGACCAATTACTTACTAATCCGTAAGTTATAAGCCAATTCACTTAGATTCAGTGACACAAAAATTCTAAATAAAACATTAGTGAACAGAAGCTAGCCATTTTTAGCAGAAAGTGCACATGGACCAAATGAAGATTATTCTAAGAATACAAAGATTCATTCTATAAGCTTGATTTTAGAAAATCTGTTAATATAAACACTGTATCTGGAATTGTAAGTGTTCAGTAAATGTACTATCATAGCAATGTAAGTCCATAGTTTAAAACATGTGCCAATTGGTTTACACTGGTTGATTTTGTTAAATAAAATATACATGACAATTTTTATTCTTGCCTAATTTTGCAGAGAGTATACAATTAGAAGATTAGAACATCTGTTAATTATATTACTTCCTGAACATAATTCTAATTAATTTTTCCATGCCTCCGATATTCATATTTTTGGTTTTTGTGGTTTATTTTCAGGAATGGAAAACTCTTGTACAAATGCATTTCCTCTCACCATGAATTCTTCCCAAAAGCAAGAAACTGTGTGTATTTTTGGAACAGGGGATTTTGGGAGATCTCTGGGATTGAAGATGCTCCAGTGTGGTTACGCTGTTGTTTTTGGAAGTCGAAACCCCCAGATGTCCAGCCTGCTGCCCAGTGGTGCAGAGGTCTTGAGCTACTCAGAAGCAGCCCAGAAGTCTGACATCATATTTGTAGCAATCCACAGGGACCACTATAATTTTTTCATAGATCTAACTGAGGTTCTCAAAGGGAAAATACTGGTAGATGTCAGCAACAACCTCAAAATCAATCAGTATCCGGAATCTAATGCAGAGCACCTTGCTCAGCTGGTGCCAGGCGCCCATGTGGTGAAAGCATTTAATACCGTGTCAGCCTGGGCTCTCCAGTCTGGAGCACTGGATGCAAGTCGACAGGTAAGATTAAATAAATTTCCAGTCAATATCTAAAAGGTGCATCTTGGGGCTGGTGAGATGGCTCAGTGGTCTAAAGCACCTACTTAGAACAAGCTAAGCTAAGCTAAGCACAGGGACTGCTGTTCAATCCCCCAGCACCACATGCCAGCCAGCCGCGCCCCCTGGTGGGCTGAGCTGGCCACACACACACACAAAATAAATAAATAAATAAATAAATAAATAAATAAATAAATAAATATTTTAAAAATAAAAATAAAAGGTGCATCTTTTAACATGCACGTACCCCAGAGATCTTAAAATAAAATGCCTGATAAGTATTTCATTTTTCTAATACGTTTTCTAATAATTTTATTGGCTTTGACCCTGAAGGGTAGTTGGTTTTCATGATTCATTTCCAACTGTATAAACCTTCAGCTTCTAGTTGGATGGACCACAGTGACTTCATGTCTGGAGCCCTCTTGTCCACCCTAAAAATGAACACAGCTTGTTGGGTATCCCTTTGCACTCCCATTACCTTGCTCAAAAGTGGTCTCATTTACACCCATAAACTGGAAGCAGTCATGAGTGATGTGGTACCCACACACGCTGTGAAGAACTGAGTGTTATGTCAGCATGATGTGCCCCAAGCCACCCTCAACTTAACACCCAGATACTGAGCTAACCAATATCATCATGTGTGCATGTCTAAAACACTGCTTTCTTAAATATGTTACTTCTGTGTCTTTGTTGGAAAAAACAATTCACTGCTACACGTAACTCTGCATGGTGTTTATATATACTTTCAAAATGATTATTAAAAAACAAGTATAATTACAGAATTAATTAATTATTTTAACCCAGGTGTTTGTCTGTGGAAATGACACCAAGGCCAAACACAGAGTGATGGATATTGTTCTCACTCTTGGACTTACTCCATTGGATCAAGGATCTCTTCTGGCAGCCAAGGAAATTGAAAACTACCCCCTGCAACTGTTCCCGATGTGGAGGTTCCCCTTCTGTTTGTCTGCTGCACTGTGTATCTTCTTCTTCTTTTACTGTGTTATCAGAGACATAATCTACCCTTATGTTTCTAAAAAGCAAGATAACACTTTTCGCCTGGCTATTTCCATTCCCAACCGTGTCTTCCCAATAACAGCACTCGTGCTGCTTGCCTTGGTTTACCTCCCTGGGGTTATTGCTGCCATCCTACAACTGTACCGAGGTACAAAATATCACCGATTCCCAGGCTGGCTCGATCACTGGATGCTCTGCAGGAAGCAGCTTGGCTTGGTAGCTCTGGGGTTTGCCTTCCTGCACGTCATCTACACACTTTTGATCCCTATTCGATATTATGTACGATGGAGAATAAGAAACACAACCGCTACCCAGGTACACCTCTTTCCATTTGTATTCTCCTACTCCTAAATCAAAGAGGAATGTTGCTACATGATGTTCTGTTTCACAGTTACAGAAAATGACTCAGTAGGCATCTTTATTTTCTAAACTAAGTAGAATTAGAAGCATCATGTCTGGGATTTTTAATGAATCCACTTAAAATCTTATACAACTATTGGGAGTACAAGTTAGATACCTAGGTTCATTTGGATCCAGAACTGTACTCCCTGTGGCACTGAGTCACAGGACTCACTGTGACACTGACAAGGTTTTATGTACCTCCTTACTTTTAGAAGTCAACACCATCTGTCTTGTAAGGAGGCTGTGCAAATATACTGAAGCAAAGCAAATTCACAGAAGAGTGCTTCTAATGCCCTCAATGCTTTTGACTTCTAGAAAATTGCCCTCAATAACAAGAAAACTAAACAGTTCTGAGCAAATATCAAATATTATGTTATGTGTAGTTAAAAGTCTCAGAATCAGCTGGATTTAATGGCACGTGCCTGTAATCCCAGCACTTGAGAGGCTGAGGCAGCAGGACCACTGTGGGGTCGAGGCCAGCAAGGGCTACAAAGTGAGCAAACTGTATGGTAAAATCCTGTCCCAAAAAGATAAAAGGGGGGGGGGGAAGGACTCAGAATCAGTAGAGTGTTCTAAGTCAGTTCTAGTTTAGAAATTCCTAATGTTGACCAATTCTAGTGCAGTCTCAAAGACTGCTGTAACGTATTGATGATACCTCTGTGGGTTTCTCTACATTTTTTCTCGAACAAGTGCATGAATATTTCTCAGGAAAGAATTGACTACAAGGGCCTGCTTCCTCTCAACCTCTGATATGAGAGATTCCACACTATAGTATAACATAGTCAAGGTGAAAACACCCAAATTCTGGGTGTGAATAATTAGCATCTAAAGCAGCTATGGTGTGTTGTAGCATTGTGGAATTCTGATGTATTATTTGAGAGCATAAAGCTTTGCTTGGGGGGCAAAAAGTCATTTGGTAAAGAATGTACTGTTTACTTTTAGTATTTATAAGGTAAATGAAAACTGCCTGCACAACCTCAAGAGTTAAGAATTATAATAAAATTCTAGCAGAACAGGTTTTATAAAGCCGAAAGTATTTCTACGTATATTTATTTTTACATGATCCATAAGAAATGCCATGCAATTTGCTTTGGGCAAATAACACCTTGAAAATGATATTTTAGTTTGCATAAACTGTGGGCAATCTGTATAAAAATGTATTTTTAAAAATTGCTGATAATTTTTCCTAGGTGATAAGCAGGAAGGATGATCCCTTTAGCACCTCTTCAGCCTGGCTTTATGATTCATATATGTCTTTGGGAGTCCTTGGATTTTTTCTGTTTTTACTCTTGGGCATCACTTCCTTGCCATCTGTCAGCAACATGGTCAACTGGAGGGAGTTTCGATTTGTGCAGGTAAAGATCGGAAGGTTTAAACTTGATATTGTAATGTGAATGTGTCCTTACAAATATTCTTATTTATCTCTCATACCAGGCCTAATTTTCCATTTTGCCCCATCACTTCTATTGACCTTGCTAAACACGCACATTTGAAAACTCGGAACTCTGGTTAGAAACAGTTTTCACTTACTTGCAGAGATTTTCTACAATGATTTCTCCTGAGTCACAGCTAAGACTAGTGAAACCTGCCAAGAACTATTAAACTCTGTCTTTGGAGATGTACTAGGTAAATGAAAATGTGTACGCTGAAAAGAAACCCAAAGACAAAATTTCATCTTTTGAAAATTAAAGCTACAGTAGGAACATATTAATAAAGAAAGGTAGAGCTTGGAAAAAAAAAGCTAAAAACCTTCAAAGCAAGATTTGATAAATACAGTCACTTCACAGACACTTCATTAAAGCCAGTTAGTAGCCACCCTAGTATCTGTCTATCCCTGTGCGGTAGTGACTCTTACAGTACAGCACCAGCAGTATCAACTTCTGGGCCACTTGGGGGCTTGTTAGATGCACAAAGCCCCAGGCCACACACAGACCTGGTGAATCATAGGCTGTGGAGGTGGAGCCCAGCAATGAGTTTTAACAAGCCCTCTAGATGATTTTGATGTGGGCCCACTGGGAACCAGGGTCATAAAATAGACCACTGGTCTTTGAAATTGGATTTGAATGTCAAAGCTTGCAGTTTCTTCCAGGGACCAAGTGCAAGAAAATTTTGCTCATGAGAACACTTTCACTCAAGACATTAGGACAAAAGTAATGAATCTAGAGTTGCTCCTCCCCAAAAGAATCTGGAGGTGCCCCCCCAAAAAAAACCCTTCCGTATAAAAAATGTAGCAACTGCTCTTTCTATGGTAAGTAGCATCTGTTTTCAGTAAGTAAGATAATGGAGGGCTTGACTTCATAGTCACCTCTACTCTCCAGAAATGATGATAAATAAGGGTTTAGCATTGGTGACCAAGGACAGGTACATTATTTATTCTAATTCAGAACAGTTCACTCCTAGGAAATTTTCCATGGAGCCAGATTAAGGTAAGTCTACCATGTCAAATTTAAGCAACAGTCTTTCTTTTAATGAAATACTTACCACCCTAAAGACAGTCCAATTAATGCCTTATGCTGCACTTAGCAAAGCATCCTTAATATTATAGATTGCAAGTGTTTATAGTTATTGACAAATAAACTTCACTGATTCCTAGTGTTTACTTCAAAGGAAAATAACGTTACTATGGTCTTCATTATTTTTCCATTTGTTTGTTTGTTTATTTATAGTCCAAACTGGGTTTTTTGACACTGATATTGTGCACAGCCCACACCGTGGCGTATGGTGGGAAGAAATTCCTTGGCCCTTCAGCTCTCAGATGGTACCTTCCCTCAGCCTATATCCTAGCGCTCATCATTCCCTGCACGGTGCTGGTGATCAAGCTTATCCTCGTCATGCCATGCATAGACAACGCCCTCACTAGGATCCGCCAGGGCTGGGAAAGGAACTCAAAATACTCAAAATCATTATCATTTGGAAAATCAAATGTTTCAAGCAACGTTGAATGTACCTGGGCTTCTGAAATCTAGCAATAAATGTTGAGAAGAAAGAAATCGATGCGATTAAGAAAGTTGCATTTCCCCACCACCACCTGAGGTTTATCTGCACAGAAGGAAATTTTGCCAGATTTTGAGAAAGTACCATCAAAGGAGACCTCCATTGTAACTCAGGTCAGCGGCGAGGCCGCTGGGAACCTTGCTGTTTCTTTTCCTGGAGACCATTGAGCTGCCTCCCTGCAGGCAGGAGAGAGGCATGTAGGATGGAGATTAGCTTTGTGGTTTCACACTAAGAAAGTTCTTTGCTGTGGGCAACCACCATGACCTAATGTTTTGCAAAATCCAGGGAAAAAAAATACATGCAACTTCCTGCTCTGATTCAAGGACTGAGTTAAAGAGACAGAAAACACAGCATGATGGTAGCCACTAGAACCAAGACATAAGTTGTCTCCATGATTTTTAATAGGTGCGGGGGATCAAACCCAGACCTTGGCTCATACCAGGCAAGCATTCTGCAGCCCTGCAGCAGTGAATTCTATCGTTAAATGTATCGCTTAGTTTGGCTTTTACCAATATGAGTATCTGCTTTGAGGAACTATCTTA